TTTAAATATATTTACAGCCGTAATAATAAGATATGCATTTGATAACTAAAAATTACTAATCGAGGTCGACATTATTGAATAATTGTTGAAAATGATTTCACAGATATGGCGGCTACCCATTCTAAATGCTTTAATAAATCACCGATTGATAAATAATATCGACTATAGTATTAGGTACTCTGAGGTTTTATTTGAAAAAAATATTGAAATGTTAATTTAAATGATTATAATGGAAGTGAAGAGCAAAGCTGTGAGTAGAATTAGTTGTATGACGTTCCACGAACTATTCGTTGGGAGAGAGGTCCTTATCTATGTGACGTCTGTCATAATATTTCTGTTAGGACGATTATTGTATATAATACGTATTGCAAAAATGGTTACTAATTTAAACTCCCAGAATATATTTACATTTTGACACTATTAAGTAACCATTTGAAACAATTATAACATAACACGATCGTCGATCAGTAGTCAAATAATACATTTTTCATATTAATGAGCTGGTACATAATATTATACAATAATAAAAGAATATTATGATATATAATATATCAATGATATTTCAGTAGGCAATTATTATCGAGTTTCTTCTCTTGTCTTAACTAAGTCCTCTAATTATTTGTTTCTTAATATTAAGAATTTATATCATAATAAACCACTTAATATTGTGCTGTTATACATCATATTATTATATTATACAGTTAGTGACTAACTAGTTACTACTTATGAGTTTTGTATTACAATGCACACAACTAACTTTAACGAAAGTGTTTTTTTGAGAATAAAACTATCGCAATTTCCGCTGAAGAGTACTCTACTTTTCTCGTTAGTTCATGATGTTGAGGTGATGATAACACAATCATTTTATATGTATAACTAGAAGTATAATTTTGAATATAAGTATTATAGAGTATTTACTATTTACATTAACAATTTCTAATTTTACACAACGTGAAATTATTTATTGCTCAGTTGAGCGTAATACGATATCTCACTACTCATCACTACAAAATATTATTTATTATTATTTATTATATATTGTGAATTTGTAATACTGTGGTTTATACCTAACCCCTGTCATGTTATATGTTATATGAGCATAGACCTATTAATAGACCTATCGTACGTAGTTGTTGGAACGTGTTATTCACAAGACAAGTACAATATAGAATGTTCTATGTATACGGTTAGTGGATTATCTAATTATTATATTGTGATAGTATACATCAGTGGTGTAGAGAAAGGTATATGTGTGCATAGGGTGTTTTGACAAAATGTTAAAATTCTGTAATGAGTACATTAAAAAAATAAAACCTAAAACAGAGGTATGCGATTGTAGCCTGTTAGATGATAACTTACTGTAATATAAATGTATAGTTTGACAATTTCTGACCTTTTTATACTTTAATCACTCCGAGAGAAACAGACAGATCAGTTTATTAAAAGGACTATTAAGTATTAGAGCCTTGCAATCATTGAAAACGAAGGATAAAGAACATAATTGTGAAGCAAAGATAGCTCAAATAAATATGGTTTTCAAAATAATCACTCTGACCAATTATCGAAAAATAATTTGTACTAACCAAAATCAGTTCTAGACTACAACATGACTAGTGTATGTAATAATCTACATTCCGTTTACTTGACAACAATTAAAGTGAAACATTAATCTTAAACGATATACACATTTTACATGGTCAAGAGATGTTGATATGAGACATGTCGGTGAAAGATTTTTTTTAACTAAGTATCTCTCTTCTAGTTTAAGGAATGAGACATTTTATTCATACATATACAAAATCAATGAAGAAATGCAATAATGAAATGTCCCTATCAGAACATTCCCTGTTTCTACAGCAGAATGTGAAAGTGGATTAGTTTAATGATTATATTCAAATCTTAGATACAAATTATTAACAATAAAAAATATATCGAACCTTCATAAATATAAATGAACCCACTCTTAATATTTGGGACCCAACCAAATGTGTTAGAAGCTTTGGCTATTGCAGCACAGGTCTGCTGGCGATAACCGTTCGAGATAAGTAAATCCATTAGGAGTGTCAACAGAAAAAAAATCATTGTGGAATACAACACATTTTAAATGTTAAATAAATATTTAATGATAGACAAATCTAAGTTGATTGGTATATGTGGCCATGTGGGGGTAAAACCCAAAATAGTATCTACCGAGTATATCTACTTATGCAGTTATGTTTAATACTTTAATTGTAATACAATATCAATATATTTTATAAAAGTACTACCTGGACTCGATTTAGCAGAGCGCTCATAAGTCCCATATCCCAAATCCCCCTCAAACACGAAACATAGAAATACTTAGGAAATTTGCATCCACAAAACTATTTTTCCCTTCTCTATACTATACGAATATTAGAAATATTTAAATGTACGTGGTCTTACTTTTTCGTGTCACTATTTAGGTATGAAGATCGTTATATAACTATGTAACTAAGTATGTCAGCAACTTATCAACTACGTAGCTTATCATTACGAAATAATATACAATTATTAATTATTAACTATTGATGACTCAAATTATAGTGAAAGCAATCAATAATATTATTATTATTATTATTAATAACAGTTAAAAATAAATAACGGTTAATTGGCGAAATACCGATTATAATAAAACCATACAAAAATACTATGCTACAAAATTACCACTTAATTGAATGTTAAAACGTTGTATTATTATATTAACTTATATTATGATCAGACGGTAGGACTTCTACACTCGTTATACATTTATGATAGACGCGTTTATGTTATAATAGTAAATAATTTAATTATTATTTGAATAATAGAAAATCAATAATAAGCATAATCGTTTAAAAATTGTGTTAACATTATTATAATAATATGTATATTATATGTTGTATAATATGATGGCAGTGCATCTGACATTTTGTCACTTAAATAATTACTACTCTGTTCCATCCGATCAAAAAAAAATTAAAACGAAAATACGAAACCGATAAACTCTCTGACGAATTCTAGACAGTGACAAGGTGTCGTCAAAGGTTGGATTAACACTTTTGAAAAGAAAGCGATATCGTTAATCCGACACAGTGATAAAAGTGGGTTAGTAAGGCACAGATGTTCGTCATCGTCATAACATTACATAATTTCTCAGATTCAATGCTGAAAATATGCATTCGATTAAAACAAGTGTGATATATTTTTTATTGCACTTGAATTTATCATATAATTTGTTATTGTACCACGCAATAATAATTTGTCTGGTTGGTGCCATAGTATTGGAGTGTTATACACACACGAACAAGAACGTTGGCGGTGATGGCCGTGCATCAAAATGCTCAGGGAGGTGGAGGGCGGTGTGAAAGTTGATTTTAATTTATATTAAATATATTTTATACTACAATATTATTATACGCGAATTCATCGTGAGTTGCACGAACTTGTTATTGGTTATATATACCTGTCCAGATGTCGTTGATTGGCAAAGCTTATAGACCTGATCAAAACGTTTGTTTTTAAGTACAAGTCGTTTGGAAAGTGTATAATACTATATACACCCGTGGAACGGGCTACGATATAACGACGAGCAATTCGGAGTGAGTCAAATGGTCTCGGGAGACGCATAAACAGAGCGTTTTCATCCCAAAAGAGTCGAGGGAAATACGTTTAGCATAATGTGAAATAAACAAAAAAAAAAATTTTAAAAATCGTCAATGTCATTGTATAAGCGATTGGACGTTGGCAAGATAAATATTTAATTGATGCACAGAAAAATATATACCTAATTAATGGTGAATTAAATGTCAGAGAATAATAATAATCAAATCGCAATATTCATCTATGGGAAAACTAAAACAAAAATAGAACACAGAAATGGATCACAATAATAATTATCTAGATATTAAGAAGACGCATGACACGTTTATAGGAAATAATAAAGAATAAAAAATAAATATTTTAATATATAATAAAACTCCAAGTGACGAGTACCTAACCTATTAAGATGGTTAGTGCATTTTTTTAAATATCATGCAAAAGTATATTATAGTATAGTTATTTTTACTGCTGTAGATACTAGCCACCAGGTATAACCGATATCGGGTACTTCTGGTTTTATATTGTTTCTAAGACAGATTTAATTTTACAGTTCAATTAATATTGATTAAATCATTAGTTTTACATAGCACTACTAGCGATTTGATCGAGTTGACGCTGGTTCTACCATTCAACATCAACATTACAGGTGATTAGAACTTAGTTAATTCAAATTGGCTGACTGAATCAAGATCGACTCAAAAATCGAACACTAATCTACGGTCTTGAGGGGTTTCAACGCGTTTTAACATCGACACACATTAAAAAAAAAAAAAATTTTAGACGGGTACTCGTCTCTCTATTATAACCACGGATTTAAGATTTCTCGCAAGTATACCACTAGTGTCAGCACAATATCGAAAAAAACACAATATATTTTTTTATTCAATATGTGGATACCATATTATAATGTCATTAATTATTATTGTGTCTACCGATCCGTAGAATATCAGCTACTGCAACACGTCTATCTATATACAGCAATAAACAGTAAGAAAATTAATTTCAACGATATCATCTCCGCCGCCGTTTCGTAGAACTTATTGACATTTTTTAAACGTTTCTTTTCCCCGAGGACCTATTCGGCGGTTTCCAATCGGAGAATTTCGGACTCGGGCGGCGGTTCGGCTTTTCACTCGAGTTCACAAAATCACCGTCCAAACCCCGACGACGCACAAGAACCACCCTGTATAACAGTCACCGATCACAACAATATTATTATGTGTGCCCCGGTGCGGACTCGCGTGCGTATGACATTGTTCGATATCGCAGAGGAAGTCCAATCGTAAAAATGTCGGTGGGAGTGGGTGGAGGGGCGGAAGAGAGCCTCCGGTAAGCGCGTTTCGGCGCGACCGGAGTGGGAGTCCGCCCGGATGGTGAGCCGAAATGCTCGTGCCGTGCGATGCGGTCGCGGGCAGACGAACGCGCGCGCGCCAACCGAACGACGTTACGTAAATACGGTCGCTCGCGTTCGCCACCGTCGCCGCCGTAACGACACGCGATAGTGTGTGTGTATATATATACATACAGCTAGCCGTCCGCATAGATCGCAACAGTTTCGACCGGCGCGCAAGAAATGGCCTGCAGTGGCCCGCAGTGGCCGCGGCTGTTCCGGTTCTCGGTGCTGCTGTTGTTCCTGTCGCTGCTGTCCGCAGCGGCCGCCCGTTACCGGCTGCTCGTGCTGCACACCAACGACATGCACTCGCGGTTCGACCAGATCGACGCGATCGGCGCCGAGTGCGGCGTGTCCGGCGCTCACTGTTACGGGGGTTTCCCGCGCCTCAAGACGGCGGTCGACCGGGAGCGCCGCCGCAACGACGCCGCCGGGTCCGTCGACGGCGCGCTGTTCCTCAACGCCGGAGACACGTTCCAGGGCACTGCGTACTACACGTTCCTCAAATGGCGGGCTGTCCAGCGCATGGTCCGGACGCTCGGCATCGACGTCATGGTGAGTGGATGCGAATGGATACGAGTGGACGCGGACGGCGAGTCCTGCCGCGTCCTGCGCGGCTCCGAGGTCCGCCCGAAACGACCGGCTGATCTTAACTCACCCGCCTAACCCGCCCACCCGTATTCCGTTCGTTCCGCCGTATTCGCTCTACGCGTTAAGACGTCATCGGGCGTCTAAAGATATCGCGTTAACGCTTTACACCCACTGCAGTGCATAGTGTCGAATACCGTCTGGTTTTGGTTGGATTTCACAGGAATTCGTCGCTGGTTTTGGATTTCGCGTCGCAACAATAATATGGATAAAACTGCAGTTTAAATGAGTTTCCCCGTTAGTCTTCGATACTGGTTTCGGTATTCGTGATTATTTTTTTTCTTAAAATCTGTACGTCGGTGGTTTCGACTTGTTCGACTGCGGTTTTTTAAGTCACGACTCAGACATGCTCACGACAATAATTAATTACTCGTCTGTGTCGCGGCACCGGTTTCGAACTGAGATTGAAATGTCGTTATTTTTTTTTTTTTGGTCCATCGAGTTCAATAATCATACATACGTTATCGTGTCACGTTCCCCCTCGACCGAACATCTGAACACAGTACGCCGTACATGTTTGGACTCGGTAAAAGCTGAAAACTCAACTGCCGATGCGTGTGAAAGTTCTTAAAACGGACATTCGGGCAACAGTTTTTTTTTTTTTTTTTACTGCGTACATCGTCTCGCCGCACAATCGGTGCAATGATCGCCGCAACCGTCACAGCCGGCACTTTAATAATTTATATCAATTTTCACTGCCACTCGATCGACGACGACAAACGACGACTTCCGACCACTATAGTGTACTCTCGACAAGTGCACACAGTGCGTCGTGGTTGAGTGTGTGTGTGTGTGTGTGTGTGTGTGTGTGTGTGTGTGTGTGTGTGTGTACACACGAGCGAGTGGTTGGATATAATATGTGCTAAGGGTGTAATAGTGTATAGAAACGCAACTCAAAGCGATTTTCATCTCTCTCAGTTCTCGCAGTAATCTTTTTTCGCGCAAGCCCACACAAAGTTTTCGAGTGCACCACGAGTCTGTGCTGCGTGTCCGTTTATAGCAAGTACATCACAGTACGCATATGTTGGCTATATGTGGGCAGTAACGTTGAGATGTGAGCTGTGGAGTGTACTTATTGTTTTTTTTTTTTTCGAACATACCTGAAGAAACTCCATGTTGATGTGGTATAATACTTGAAAATAATTATAGAAGCATAGACACGCCGGTGACTCGAAACGTTAATAATGCTTATTCTGGACGAAATTAAACTAATATCTTAACTGATCCTGTAATATAACTCACCGGCCACCGCAAATATTTTTTCGAATATTATAATTCCATCAGGATTTTATTGAATAAAACACAGATATTTTAATTTTTAATCAAAATACCTGGGTGGTTGTATACGACTGCCACGAACAATGCGTAGTATTAAAATCCACTGTGAATATCATATATTTATATATATATTATGATATGAATATAATATGATAAGAATACTAATTATTCATTAATGTTATTTAAAACAGTAATCCATCGCGACTTAAACATCCTATTTGTACGAAATCCCGGACTTCGCAGAGTAAAATGAAACAATAAAATTACTAAGACATATTATCATTGATTAAATAAAATCATTGAGGAATATTTTTTTAAGAATAAAATAAAACACTATGGAAGAAAATGAGAACCTGTAACCTTTTTGTTGAGCTCCAGACTTAACGCAATTTGTGTTTAATAATGATTACTGTGAATTGTTCTTAATCATATTTTTATCAAAATTATAATTATTTCTATTTATCTATCGTCATTATGTGCGGTATCACATTTGAAGGTTAATAATAATTGTATGGAGTAAAATTAATCACACATTTATCATTTAATACTACATAAGTAAGTATAGGTACCTATAAAAAAATATTTTTTTAAAAAATAAATTAAGTGTGTTGCCTTGTTGGTCATTTTTTTTTTTTTTTTAATAATTACACTATTTAATGAAATAATATTCAATGATATAATATATCTAATAATGATTTTATTTCATTATTTCGGTTTGTTACATAGGTATTACATAATACAATATTGGTAAGCGATGAAAAATAAATTGAAAATCAAAACAAAACGTTTTTGTGTGCTCAAATCAAAAACTGATATTATTCAAAGTCGGCGACTATGTTATTAATATTTGTTTTACCCCCGCCCGCATAACGATAGGTATAAAACGTAATATTATGTACAGCACGTCTATGTGTATATTGGACGTAATCATAATTTATAATATAACTAGGAACTCATTTTATATTCGAGAGCAATAACTTTGTCTCTCTCAAAAACCTTGGTAATTTAGATTAAGGCCGTTTTAAATTTAAATATATGTCATTTTATGAATAAATTGTTTTTTTTTTCATTTTACTTAAATCGGTTTAGAGTTTATACTCGAAACGGTATAACCACCCCGCTATTTAAAGCGTTTAGTAAATGCAAATTAAAAATTGCAAACAAAATAAACATTATTCATCATGTCTCAAACTCAGCCTTAGCAGGGTTATAAAGCGATTATCCCAGAGGAATTAAAGAATAATATAATTTAGTGTCAACTGAAACACTATTTTTATACATAATTCCGCCGGGGAAAATACAGTCTTAGAAAATGTAGGTATATATAGTGCGCGTTTAAATAAGTTAAATATTTATAACGAACAACTCGATGGAATTTAACACTATTTGTTTAAAACTTGAAATTTTCGTTTCATTTTTTTTTTATTTTTCAAATAAATAAAATGTTATCAAAAAAAGTCTACGAATAAGAAAACAAACTATTGTTTGAATACAATCAACATTCAATAATAAAAAGGAAATCAAGAAGAAACACGAAATGAAAAAATGAAACAAAACATATAATTAATTTAATAGATAATCGTGCAAAATACAAATATCACGTTATTCTGTAGGTAATATAATTATAAATTATAAGTAAAAGTTGACATTTTTTGATTTTACTTATACTGGTGATCAAAGGACAGTTCAATTTTAAGATGTTGTACCTATATAGGCTATAATAATTTTTGTATTTAAGGTACATCTAGTAATATATTTGCGTTTTTTCTGCATTCAAAATAATTGACGTGTACCATATTATTAAAATACAAAAACGAATAATTGGAATTAAATTAAAATCGATTAGTTTAGTTTATGGAAACATCCAATATAAAATAACATTGTAAAATATAAATAGATGGAAATAATGATATGTTTTTCATTACAATAATAATAGTAATATATCTCATTTATTTTCTCAACGACCAGTGCGAATCAACCACACATAAGTATAATTTTATCATTGATACCACTATTCGGTGAATTTAACAAGTTTAAATTATGACGTGTAATTCAATAAAATATTAATAAAGCTCTTACCGTCTTACATTATAATAAACATTTTTTTAAAACACAAATAAGTTTGAGCAGTATCTATGAAAGTGCTAAATTTTGAGACCGATAATATAGTGGCAGAATACAATTTACGACCGTGTGATGGAATAGAAAATCCAAATTGCATCAACGTTTATGAATCATTTTCTCTAGATTATATTTTAACATATATTAATAATTATGATAGTATTAGTATAATTACACACGTTTATTAATAACTAGTAATAATATTATAATATGTGTCGCTAAAAACGATAACGAAAAAAAAACATTTTGATAGAAATTCATTTTAATGTAAATACACTTTAAGTAACATTCAGCCGATCGTTGATCTAGGACTGCGTAGTGTTTTAAGTGTGACCAAATTTATCCAAAACTGATAAAATCATATAGCCTTATCAAAGTAGTTAAGTAATTTTTCTCTCAGGCAATTTTCCAAATAGATGGTATGCATAAATTACAACATTAAAATTCAGGTACATGTAAAGTTGTTATTTAAAAAAACACCTGTGCTTGGATAATCTCTGTATATAGTTACACGTTTTGTCGGCACATCGCCAAACTGATTAGGGGAAATACTGGGTGTCGGGTGATTATTTTAACAGTAGAAACTCATTAATCATTATCTCAAATAAGAATTAACGTTTTAAAATAGTTTTTTATACATCGTTGGAATTAATTATAAAGACACGGTTTTGAAAAAAATTAAATTTTCATTATTTTTATTGTAATCAATTTGAAAATTGTGTGGGGTAACTTCATGTGCCATAATCTTTATATGTTCAGCAAATACAAAATAAAATATTTTCAAAAATCGTTAGCTCTTTTTAGTTTTTGTAATGATAAGTGCTTACTTTTTAATGGATTACTCGGTACACGAGTTTAGTACCTACCTATTTCTGATAACTAGTAGCAAACCCGCGAAATACAATGCAATGCATGTTCAGTATATTATAAAATAAATTAAGTTGTATTCAAGAAGTGATGAGGGTGAAAAACACTAGGCTAGTCAACATGTTGAACCTCGGTCCAAAACGTGTAACATAATATAATTGTGTTATTATTAATCTGCAACGTAGGGATAGGAATGATTTTTTACTAAATAGAGCACTACTATAGTAATATAGACCAAATAAAAACAACATCAAAATAAATGTATTGCCATCCCATATTACGATCATTATTATTGAATTATTGTTGTTACTTGTTATTCATGATACATCTTTTGTACGCATGTTTCAGTCTTTGGGAAATCACGAATTTGACGACGGTGTGAAAGACGTTGAATTGTTCTTACGAAACATAACCATACCAGTAGTAGCCAGTAATCTCGACCTAACCTACGAACCTGCATTGGCCAGTGAGCCAAACTTGATGAAATCTAAAGTTCTGACGGTCAATGGACGCAAAATTGGAATTATCGGATACTTGACTCCGGAAACAGCAGTGAGTATTACACATAATAATATTATACAGTAGGTTATATTTCTGTAACTTCCATAACGTGTCATTTCGTAAACATTTTTTTTTCGCACCATAAAGTCATATTCCAAGTATTCTATCACTAAACAGTTTTTTTTCGGTAAAGACACGAGTGTTCAAAAAAACGTTAAGAGAAATAATTTTAAGTCATAATAATAATATCCATACAGGTAGGCGATAGATAAATCCTATGCTGAGAGCCTGCAGTCTGCTGCTCATTGGCTCTGGTTAGGTTTAGGCGACGTGTTATTACAATCGTATAAAACTACAACTGTGTAACTTTTGTTAAATAACCCGTGTGAAACTAATTAATAACTCTTAGAGACTATAGAAAACGAAAACGGCGTGCTAAAATAGAATATTTGAATTGTCACGGGTAAAGGGAAACGTAAAATAATTTTAATTAAAATAATTCTTGTTGTGTTTACGCTGTTATTATTACGTCAATGTGTTGAGAACATCATTAAAATACTGAAAACGGCGAGACAATACGTTGACGATATTAAAACTGCGAAGTCCACGCAGAAAATATTAGGTAGTAGGTATACAACCGTGGCGGGTGTAAACAGAACAGTAAAACTATACGATAATAATTAACAGGAATGCACAATTTCGAAACGTAGGCGTTGGACGGTCTGAATACTTTAGAAATACGTTCACCGAACAACAATAATTTTGTTGAGGGTACCAAACGAGTATGAGTTTTAATTTATTACCACGACAATAATATAATAATCGATGTAACTATATAATATGTCCACCGCGGTGTCAGCTACACAAGTGGTTTCGTCGGGCCGGCGGCGGTGACGGTATGATGTCGATGTCGTCGACCAGACCGGTTAGCTGGTAGGCGCGACCTCGTGTACGTTGGTAAGCTGATATGTACCGGTCTTACGATTTACGGTTACAGCGACTCGACCGGATGTCATAATGAATTATCGCGAATCGAATTTGCATAACAACGCAAGGCGAATAAGTTCAGTTAGGTGTCTTATCGGCGGGCAAATTAATATGCGCCGCGTCTGCAGTGGTTGAACATTTAAAAAAAAGGCGAAATGTCGGTACCCACTCTAATGTGCAAAAGGCGCAAACGTACCTGGCCACTGGGTAAGTCACCGCAATGGATTTGTCGATTTTAAGTTCAACGATAGAAATCATGAAATGCGTAAAACGATTCTGAGCGACAACTCTACCGGCCTAATAGCTTTTTGACCGGAGGAAATATTTTTATCAATATTTATGGAAAAAAAAAAAATCGAAATTTCAAATATCTATAAATATCACAAAAGGCGTGAAAATACTTCGAAAACTTATATCATGTTTAAAAAATACTAATATAAACATTATTTATAAGGTTATTTCGTTTTTGAATAACAACAAAATAAGAAAATCGATTTTGTCAAAAACTAGTTTTGCGTAAAAATTGTAATTGGCACTTGGAGTTTTTAATATTTTTAACTTCCCAAAAATAATAAGTTGTTTCTCTTTTTTACCAGAAAAGATATCGTAAGTAGTTGAAAATCAAAGCATTTGATCTACTATAAGTCGTGGATACATACACAAAAAACACCCACGTCATTGTAAAATCATATAACATATTGTTTTGTACTCTGGTCTGTGATGAACATTTTAAATGTATTATACTATGCCCCAGAAAAATAAAAATAAATCGTTTATGTCAATTCATGTTGTTACGCTCGTTGAAATCCTCCACGCTCTACATCGTGCATGAATGATTTATTATATCCGAAAACAGCCAGTAATTAGACATTGGAGAATTTACAAACACACATATTCTCAATTGATTAAAGCTCTGTTGAAACGTTTATTTTAAGGTTATAGCAAAAGTGGGCAATGTAAAAATATTGCCAGAAATACAGTCGGTAGCGGCCGAGGCGAAACGACTGAAAAACGACGGGGTGGACATTCTTATTGCGTTGGGACATTCTGGTTTCGAAATGGATATACAGATAGCCAGAGACGTCGAAGACATCGATTTGGTGGTTGGTGGACATTCGAATACGTTTTTGTACACAGGTTAATATAATATTTATCATCGTGATGTCACAATAATATGTACAATTTATACAGAATGGTTATTAACCGAAAAGTCAGTACGGTCACAATTCTAAATGTTAGGTGAATATCTTAGTGTAGTTTTTCAATACTACCCCATACTTATGTCTCATCTACAAAAAAAGTGTAAAAACTGAATTCATACTATTAGAATTTTGTGTATTTTTGAAACTATGAATATTGTTCTCATTTCTTAAAAATTCAACAGATTTAAACCTTTTTTTTTCTATATTATCATTATAAAATAACTTGTTTTGGTTTTCGACAAAAAAACTTGTATGTTTCTTGAATTTGTTTTTGGTAAATCGTGATAAAAATTAGGCATTTATTAAATTGAAAAAAAAACGACATTATAATATAATAACTTAAATTGAGAGGTTGAGCTGCTGTCATTAGATACTGACTTTAAAATTATTTAAAACATATGTATTATGTAAACATAAATGTTTAAATGTAGATAATATGATATTGAATTGAAAACAAATATTGTATTACTCGGGTCGCAGGAGTCGGAACAGTATAGCAAACCATATCATACATTATGAAATTGAAATTATAGAACGCACATGATAATATTGAGTACAATGACTTAGACAGTTAAAAAAAGGATGATAATGATAATATCATAATAATAAAAGTAGTATTTATTTTTTGAAGGAAATCCGCCGGGTGCCGATAAGCCTGTCGGCCCGTATCCTTTTATGGTGGAACAGCCAAACACCAAAAGGAAGGTTCCTGTGGTACAGGCAGATCACGTCACCAAATATTTGGGTGAATTGTGGATAGAGTTCGATGAAGCCGGCGAAGTTATCAAATGTTATGGAAACCCAATTTTATTGGATTCCAGTATCGAACAAGGTATAAACCCACATATTTTATAATGTCATAAAATACATTTAACATTTATACGACTTGTTGAGGCGAAAGTGAAGTTGTCACTACAAAATTATTGCAAAATCTTTCAAATAGCTTTTCTTCCAACCCCAGAGTAGATACATAATGAATATGTTGGGGGAAAAATAAAAAATAAAAATATATTTATCGAATGCAATATTTTTTTGGACATTGTGTGGGGCTTATGGAGAAATGTTCTAGATCAATAGCATTATATATTATGTATAAAAAAAATAATAAAGTGATGGAACTTACATGCTGGGACTTTCGCAATAAATCACGTTTTCACGGTATATTTTTTCACGGTATATATTTGTGTTCACATTTTCAACAACGCTAAAAAACGGTAAAACCTGTGCAATCACTGTACCTAGTAGGTACCTACCCGTTTTAATAAAACAGAAATATGACCCAACAATCTTTGTTCATTTTTAAATCGAGTTTTCACTCCAGCATTATAATTTCTGATGGCTGAAAAGTGAAAACTATATAAGACACTTTCCAGAATACAGAATGTGAATAAAGTTGTACCTATATAGGTAAACGCACTCGTTTATGTTGTATAATTGTTGTAGATGCCAAAGTATTGGAAGAAGTAAACATTTTGAGAGAAGTTATCGAGAACAAGACTAAACAAGTGATTGGTTCGTCAAGCGTATTTTTAGAAGGTGAGAATGAGTACTGCAGGTTCAAAGAATGTAACCTGGGAAATTTCATAACGGACTCTTTCGTAGATTACGTGAGTGATAAAAATAAATAAATAAAATATGATAATTATTGTAATAACGACAAAACAAAAACGGATCATGTACAGAATATCCGAAATAATATCAAATCGTTTGATTTGACCAAATACTGGACCGATGCACCCATAGCGTTGATACAAGCTGGAGGGATACGGACAAACATCAATAATATAAAAAGAACAGGTAAGTTATACAATACTTATACTAACACAATAGAAGTATATAAGTAGGTAGGTGTGTCACTCGACATGTATTAAGTTTCAAATGAGCATATTGTGTGTGTATTAAAGGTAACATCACTTATGGAGATTTACTGTCGTCGCTGCCGTTTCAAAATGACATAGGTAAAATTACGACTAAAGGTTCAGACATTTGGACAGCTTTTGAGTACTCCGTTCGGCGGTACAGCACAATAGTGCCCAACGGTGAATTCCTACAAGTTTCAGGTAAACGATCTAAATTTGTGTAGATAATATGAAAATCACGATTTCGTTTGATATTATCTTAGTCTGACAGGTGACAGTATACGTCAACAATTATTATACATAATAGTAATATGATAACAATATGATATCGATAATCAGTATCGATGTTTGTAATCGAATACGAAATTGTGATTTGCAAAAAAAAAATACTAATCGTTACTCAGTATAATCTGATCACCCAAACGTACATTCGGTGTCGCCCAACAGGATTGAAAGTCGTAATAGACTTTGGTCGGCCCAGCGGCAAGCGCGTTCAGTCCATTCACGCTAGATGTGGAAATTGTGCCGTCCCCGTGTACGAGAAATTGAATTTAAACGCCAATTACACGATGATCGTCAGTGATTACCTGTCAAACGGCGGGGACGGTTTCTCGTTCAAAAAAGTGGTGGAATACCAGAGTTTCGGTGAGTGCGACACTGCGACGTAAATATTAAACATTACGCGGGAACGCGATTTATTATAATATTATAATATGGATTGATCATTGTTATCACTATCACCGTCGTTATAATGCGCATTGTGCGCGCGCGTGTGTTTCTATAAAATCAGGAACGACAGATTTGAAGATCATGGAAGAAGAGTTCCACGTGAGGTCGCCAATATGGCCCGAAGTCGGTCAACGGATCGTACTGCTCAACGTGGGAGAGTTGAACCAGGCGCAGACAACCAGCAGTGATAGCCAACGCGTTTCGACACCCCTGTCGGACATGACATTATTAATGTTGACGATCGCGGTCACGTTGTGCCTGGTAGACTGACCAGTTGTATTGAAATAATATCAATATGGTTCCGTGCGGCGACCGCGTTACCGTGTCGCGTACGATTTGCTCACGAACAATATAATATTATAATATATCTTTTAATTATATTATGTTTTTACCTCTAAAGTATTATAATAATAATTGATGGCGGCGACGACAACGCGCGTCTTTTCGTCGAACGGCAACAGCAGTATTGTTTTGAATGCTTTCCGCCGGGGAAGATCAAAAATCAAAACGAACCAAGTGTCAACATCGTACCGTAGTCGACCTGTGGAGTATGCACGGCTCGTGTACAAAATATATACATATAATATGTTAGGAAGTTATAACTGCATAGATATATTATAACCTGACGAGCGGAAAAAAATACATGGGTATAGGTACGTGGAGTGTAAACTGTACAAGAGTACGTGTATATTATATGGCGATAAGACGCAAATACATTTATTTTATGTAAAATGTACGATATTAGTTTATGATGATATTAAATTTGTAAAAATTGATTTTTAATGGTTTTCACTTTTCTTTTATATTATACAATCTCATAAATTATTAAATAAACGATTTTTTTACTCACACGCTAGTTGTTGTACGTCTTTGTGAATTTTACTACCTACGTGTGCATAGCGTGAAACGAAATCGTAGATATAGATTTTCGATTATATATTTATTTACTAATAGTGTAATAATATTATTAACGACAGTTCATATTATTAGTATTATAGCAGATACTAGAACGATATATTATTATCATAATAGTACATGCTCTAGTATTTAGGTATAGCAGCATAATGCGGATGATACGCCAAACGATATTTGAATTTTAGAAAGATTTTGATATTGGTCATGTAATAATAATATATTTATAAGTAATATTGTTGTAAACATTTTTTTCTCACCAAAATATTTCGTTATGACACTTCGATACTAGAAGTTTATACTGGGTAAGAATACTTTGAATACAGTCCATTTTTTAGTCTAGTGCACAAGCGACGATAGAATACAAAATGTTTAAGTCGAAAATCGAGATGGATGGTCCGATGGTGTACAACAGTTGACACGTGCCCGTGGTATCCTCAACAACAATCTAAATCTAAAAGTCTCGGAAATGAAATAAAAAATTTAAATCGATTTATACACTATGTATAGGTACCTACACCCGTCTAACGCGACGACGGTCTTATACGACATGACGTATTGTTTATATTTCATTTACGAAATGTCAGCACAACGGTCAATAAGCTAACAATTATTTACTATCATCAGGACGAGTTTAAAATAATATTTTATTTTGTCCATCATACAGATTCATCCATCCAAATATTATTCATGTCTTTAACGTAACGGTGATTATGTCCAAAACGCGAAGTCGTGGTTATAGCACTCGATGAGTATTATGAGTGTTATTATTACTATAGGGAATTATTAAAGTTTCTATATGATATCCCCACGGGAGTGTTGTAGGTATAAGCTCATATATTGTATCGGATAGTATGTTATTGTTATTTACTCCGCCTTTTCAAGTTTAATTAAGTTATAATAATAATAATAATAACAATATAATTTGAATTAACAATCATAATGATTGTTAATGGTAATAATAATATTAACAATAATAATAATAATAATAATAATAATAATAATAAAACTACGATATAAAGTACATCGGTAATATTGTGCAACAGTGTGGTAGACGAGAATTTGATTAAGACGAATGGTTGTGAAAACATACTAATTGTAAGATTCTTCTATAGAAAAATAATAAGGAAACCAAACTGTCCAAGTTTTGAACTGCGTAATATTCATTCGAATTCGGATAAGTTAATTAATATAGCCTTTTTCATGTTTAGATTGAGTTGAATTGAACTAGATAGTGACGTGCGTACTACACCGAAGCGAATGGTCCCATTTTTAGGTACGTGACAACAATTTACAAAATTAATTTTCATTAATTGTCACTATTAATTTGAGTTCAGTGTAAAGAAGAAATAGTTCGATGATTTAGAATATGAACCATAAACAATACAAATAATACGTTACACGTTTATTCCAGATAATTTAAAACGTTAAATAGGTGCCAGGGTAATATAAATAATATTATGTCGCTACCTTTATGTTAACTTTATTGATTATAATAATGTAATAAAGTGTATAAAATAATTTAATCATAATAAAAACGAGGATGTACAACATGCCGTAGAAGCAGATAATATTATGACCAATAAAAATATACCGTGCCGTTTACAAATGGTCAAAACGAAAACATAATAATATTGTGTTGACCTGACATACGTCTCTATAAGTATCTCTAGGGTATTCTTTGTTGTGGATTAGTTTTCGAACGAGCCAACTAGGTACCTTCATCGTTTTTATGTTTGGAGGCTTTGATGTCGTTCCTTTTGGGCTTTGGGAGATTATATTTTAAGGACATATTTTATTCAAACTTAAAACCGTTATATTATGGGTACCTATATATCATATATTGTACAAGGACACATGTTTATAAAACGACTGCTTACTGTCTATAAAGTAAAAGGAAAAAATAGTAAAATAAAAAATACACAGACAAATATCGTGTTGAGTCTTATTTACTTCAACAACTCTGTAGTTATATAATTTTCTTAATAATCTAATAAATGTCAATACTAATGTGTATATTATTATACTGCAAACCCTTAAAACACGAGGTCGTGATTCGTGGTACTAGCTTATCATTACACCGCCCAAAAATAGATGAACTTGTTAATACAATCAAATATTTATTGTTTGAGGTATCGGTGAGGGATAAATTAAAAATATTTTTCTGATTACCATAACAAAAACACATTAAGTTACGAAAATAAAAAAAAAATAATTTCAATTCAAAATGTGTAACTGTTACTGTATTACAATAGTTATTAGTTTTTACAATGATAATATTATGATTATATTTTTTAGAAACATTATCATATCTACTTCCTTTGTTTTAACGATAGCTTAAATATAATTTTAAAGAATCAAAACGTATAGTTGCCGAAATGTGTAACAATAAAGATGATGCGAAAAAGTGTCCTAAGCTAATCTCTTAATGCCAGGGATCTATAGTTTAATTGTTTTACCTAAAAATTAAAACTAAAATTAAAAATAGTGCCTATTACTGTGTTCATTTAACATTTTATCTGATGGTGGTTTTGGATTTATTTATGTATTTAGAGAACACCTAACACCGTTCGGATTTTATATAGCAATATATTTACAATTTAAACTTCTTTAACACATACAATTATAAATACATAACATTTGATGACAAAACATTTACAAATAAAATAAGGTTATATTATGAATACATTTTAAATTGTTACATTGATGATAAAAATTGACCAAAACACAAAAAAATTATGAATTATTATTAGCTATAGACATCACATTTGAACAGAATTTTTTCGCAGAATTAGTCTGGCTTACTAGTTACTATAGTAAGATAAAATTACACCTAAACCTTGATGTTACCTAAAACGAATGTCGTTCTAACAAGCGAATATATTATTATTATTATTTAATAATATAATTATAAATCCGTAAAAACTGGTTCTGTAGACCGAAAAACGATAGATGATATATTATAATGATCGTACTTCAATATTTGTATTATTATTTTTACAATTTGTAAAGGTTTACTACGTATTTTCGATAAGTTAAAATATGATACCAATCAGTCACTTTTCCTATGACGGACGATGCACAATTTATTCCCCTGGGAGGGCCGAGCACTGGTGTGATACCGCGGGTGGGCCACCGTGTTTTGACGTTTTTCCACGATATGGATACAGAAAACCGGGAAAACACGGTGGCCCACTCAGTATATTTTTATAATTCATTTTTTTTTTATGCTGAAGTGGAGACGATGGCCTGTTGTAATTAGTATTACCGTAGCTGAATGCTGTACGTTCTTAAATTAGTATTATTGTTTATTATACTATATACTACAGACTATAATATATTATATGACGAATTAGGAAAACTTGTAAATATATACGCATATTATGTATACATAATGGATTATAATATGTATAAAACACAATGAGATGACGGAGAGCGAGATCTGAGATGGCGGATGATTATTAATTTTATTTCTTATGTTACAAGTTCAATCCATATAGGTAATATAATGGTATGTTCAAATATTACATTTTATATCCAACAGGTAGGTATACGGTTAGGTCGGCGACGTCATAATATATAAGCTGCGATAGGGGTCCAGAAACAGTACAAAACCGCAGCTTATGCAATTTATATAATATGCATAAGGTATATTATGTGGGGAGCCAATGGCTATACTTATAGTAGGTTCTTGTACTGTATATGATGCATATTGCATATATTATGCTTTAGTTTTTCTTCGAAATTGTTTCGAAGGCGCCCTTGGCGTATACGAAATAATAATATGCACAAAAATGGAACATGTTAATATCATTATGTTAAATGAATTACAACGAAAACATGATGTCTAATACTACATTAATACATCACGACTAATTTATAAGTTACTTATAACAGCCCTTAGAACTAAAAATAAAATGGTCTGAGAAAAACAGTAAGTATAAATAGTTTCTAAACAATACAATTTTAACAAGGAAAAGAAAAAAAACTTAACTCCTCATATACCTTCAATTCATTGCGTCATAATAATAATTTGTCAGGTATATAATACGAAATATACCGGCTCAACTATTATTTTTATTAAGAATTTCAATACTTAAAAGTCATAATTCAAACTAGTAGGTACCTAGTAAATTATTACCTTACAGTATTCAACAGTATTTAAAGAGCGGAGTTGTAGTTGACGAACATTTTGCAAGAAACTTAACGGCCAACTCCCTCCACTCATTAAGAATTTAAATACGTATAAGGTCTTACATTAACTACTCGTACAAAATTAACTTTATTTACATAATTATTGAAATGTTCAGGGAATTCTCTGCTTCGGAATATTTATTTTTCAAACATTATTTGATTTTACACCATCTGATGAAGCGCTGAACAATAAGCTTAATAGTTAAGATCAATTATTGATACAATAACAATGTAGGGATTGAATTGCGTAAAAATAATATTATTTTCAGAAACGTCAATATTTTCAAGATAATGTTTATTAATTATAAAAAATAATCACAATAACCATTATGCGAAAAGACTGCATACCTAACCTAACCTAGCCACCTTCTAACATCTGTTTCTTCCAAAATATCTAATGTACCTCTCTTTATTCGTGAATGTTGCTATTACCTATAATTTAATAATATCTGAGTACAATACATTATTGAACCATAATATATTTTGGTTTTATAAATACAAAACAAATAA